TGTTCTGATGATTCATTTAGGGCTGTGTGTGTGTGTGTTTCTACTGAGTATGTGCTTGTTAAGAGATATGAGACCATGGCATACAGTGGAGAAGGGGAAGGAGAGGATCTGGGTTGCTCTCTAACCAAAGTCCAGGAATGACGTCTAGACAGGGAGGGGGCATCATGAGGTAGGATATGGAGGAGAACATGGTCTCGTACATGTTACTTTGTATTAAAAAAAATGTTTTCAAAGACATTTATTGTTTGGAAAGTACACTTTATTTTAATGTGGCATGAAACCTGTGTGATTGAAGCCAGGCAGGACAGTATAAAAACTATGTGAGCTAATCCACTGCCTGTCCAAGGAAGGATGCCCCACTATCCACAATCATCTCTGTGAAATAAGATTTTGTGGAAGACCCCACATTGCCTTGTTTAATTCCAGTTCTCTCATGAAAAGAATTGGAATTGGAATTCTTGGCCTTTTAAAAGGTAGTCTAAGAGGTAAATATAATGTATGTATTATAATTAGAAAATGATTATTAAAGTATAAGTTAAAAAATATGGGCTTGTATCACTATTAAAATATAACACATATCCATTGTAAAAACATCTGAAAATGATCGTAAGCTTTAAAAAGTATAAAAGTTACCCATAATCCCACAATTCAGCAATAACAACTGCTAATATTTTGGCATATTTTTTCTAATATGTTTCAAGTTTTTGCAATACTACTTTAAATAAAGTTGGTGTCAATATATGCATGTTTTGTTATATATTTTAAAATAAATATCATGAACATTTTCGTATCATTCAGTACTCTTCTAACACTTACTATTGGATGGTTGTCTATATGCTTTCTTAGTTCAGTGCTTAAAGCCTAGCAGTTGCTTGATACATTTTAGTGAATGAATGAATGAATGAATGAAGAAAAGGATGAGCAAACGTATGAATTGAGAGGCTGCAAAGATCCAGCTCTTGGTCAAATAAAATTTGTTTCAGACTCAGCAACTTCCTGTAGATTGAGAGACTAGGTAGCTAACCCAGGGCCCTTAATGAATAGGAGCCTGTTCTCTGTTCGTCTGAATCAGCCTCGAGGCAGAGAATTCAATTTAATTTTTCTCCCATCAGTCAAACTGAAGAGCTGAAAAAGCAAAACCAGAGACAAGAGAGGCAGGAGGTGGAACAGGCTTGGATGAGGAGATCAGCAGCTGATCTCTTGTTCTTTCTCTGTTAGGGAGAGCACGAGGTGAGAGGAGCCATGCTTCTCCCAAGGGTGGGTACCAACAGGAGCTGTGGTGGATGGCATCCTGCCACTACCGCCATCCTCTGGGATGGAAGGACTGATCATTTCTCTGGAGGACTGGGACTCCCACAGTGTCAATGTGACCTTCATGATTTTTCCCTGGCCTGTCTCTAGAGTTTGCAGCAAAGGACGGCACGATCATGCTGGGTTTTAGTTGAAGGAATTTGGGGCCCTGTTTGCTAAGATTGGAATCAGGGCAAACAACTGGGTTATAGAAGGCTCCAACCAAAATCTCTTCTGTATTTAATTGGGAAACACCTATCTTCAGTCTGAGCATCTGGCCCTCAGACAGCTGCCATGGGAAGGAGAGTGACCCATTCCTTAAAACTACATGGAAAACTCAATCCTTGCAATAAAATACATGGATATGTCCTTCTCAGTGGGACAGTCTGGTCCTCACATAACCTTTCCTTTCTCTAGCCCTCACCGATATAAATGTACATATGGATAGAGATAGAACTATCTACAGATGGATGGATGGATGGATGGATAGAAAGAGAAATAAATGAATAAATAGACAATTTCCACCTCCTTTTGGACAGTAACAGTCATCAGAAACCTCCTTCCTCTGCAAAGCTCCCCCACAAGCTGAGCTCAAGACTTTGGCCATGTTGATACCTTCGTCGTTATTGTCTCCTCCACCCAGTAAGATCTCTGTCCATCTTCTCTCCTGTCCACACCACTTATCTCCAAAGGCCTAGCTCAAGATGTATCTCTCCAGAAAGCCTCACTGTTCCATTTCTACCCCTGTTAATCTTGCCCATTTCTCAACTTGTAGAGCTTTAGCCTTCATCCCAATTTCCCCCTTTACGTGGTGTACCACTATGTCTTTTTGGATGGTCAGCAGTTACCCATTTTTGCTGCTTGAAGAATTGGATGTGGTTGTGTGTGCTCTGTAATTTAATGGTGTAGAGTCAGTATTGTTTTATTCACTGAGCTGGTAAAGAAAGAAAGGGACTGAGAGTGATGAGGAATAGTGTTGCCTATTTTTCGGGTGCAGAGTTGGGCACACATAGTAGTTAGTACTTACCCATGGAGTGAAGGCGCATTTTGGATAAATATGGTGAGAGTTGGTGTAGAGTTGGTGTGGTATAGCATAAACTTGCCATCAGCTAAATCAGAGACGACATCCTTGTTTTCCATATAGTTGCTGTAGTAGCCGCTTTGTAGAACAAAGTGTTAATATCTTAATCTTATCAACTAAGAATGCAAATATATCTCCTTAACTACTTTATCAACTATTGTTTTTTAGCTGAGCCATCCTGCCACCTGTTGGCAGCTCAGTGGCAGCTCAGCTTGGGATGGGACTCGAACCGCTGTTGCTCAGAGCTTACACTCTTGAGCTAGCTCTTAACCAACTGAGCCACTCGGCTGGCCCTTATCAACTATTTTGAGTATTAATACAGTATATGTAGAAATATCACACACAGACACACACACTTCATTTACTGGACACAAAGAGATATGTAGTTTATAGTGCCTATGTTCAATAAATATTTGCTGAATTAGATTGAAATGGGCCAAAACATTTCCAAGCCCCTCAAAGCTTTTTTGGAAATCACCAGAAGTTCATTCAAAAATTATTTTTATATGGGTTGTAAGATTATGGACTCACAACTAAATAGCAAGGTTACCTGTAGTGTGGTGTGGTGTGCCAGACAGTGCCTCCCTACAGATGCGCAGCTACTGGGGATGTGATTACAGGAATGTGCTTCACTTGACCCCATTTCTATAAATTTGGGGCCACCTACTCTATTTTTCTCAATTTCTCTACCTATAGGAATTTGTGGGAGAAACACAAACATGGTGGAATCTTCATTTTAAACTAGGTACCATGATTCTGTGGAGGGAGAGTTCAGCTAGACATCAGAAAAATTAAGTCCTAGTTCCTCTAACCAAAACTTAACTTCTCTAAGACGGGGTTTCATTTACTATGAAAGAGGTTTGTGCGTTCACCTGTTATGTGCCAGGCATGGTATAACCACTGATACATAAAGGTGAATAAGGCATGACCCCTACCTCTCTCTGACTAACAGTCTAACATGGTAGCAGGGAGGCATGTCAGTCAGTGATGGCATAGCATGCACAGCTTCTCAGAGGCAGACAGTAAAAATAGTGGGGGCACCACATGGTGTGAGTGGGTAACTCTGTCTGGTTGGACCATAGAATCCTTGGGAGCAGGAGTTTAAGTTAGTGATAGATGTCCTGCCTTTCTTTCAGTGTCTTTGTAAGGCTCAAATGAATGTGAAAGAGCAACATGGTTGAATTATTATTATTATTATTATTATTATTATTATTATTATTATTATTATTTTATTATCACATTCAGATGTTGAATCCAGGCATTCAGTTGAAAATAAACCTGATACTCCTGGCCAGTCTTTTCTAGTGATGCTGGCTTTCCCGTATGTGTTGTTACAAAGGGGTCAGTCTCGACATCCATAAAATAAGTGAATGTGGGTCCTGAGTCTATTAGCTACGCAGAGGGTTCTGTTTTATTTTTTCAAAGTTCTGGGCTCTTCTGGAATTCTTTCTCATTCCATGTGCTGCTCTCCATCCTTCCTTGCTTGTTTGAATTATTGATTTATGCAGCAGGTATTTGGTGAACACTTTACATGTATTCAAGGTATACCAACACAGCTAAATAATACAGACAAATCTGAAACACATAACTGTATATTACCCTGTGCTAAGTGCTCAATGGAAACAAAAGATGGGTACAGTGACTTGAGAAAGAAGGAAGATGAATGGGCTACAGTGGTCAGAGCTGGCTTTGGACAGGAGGCCACACTCGTGCAGGCCCTGCATGGATGAGTGGTTTTTACGAGGCATAAAAGTGGCCTTATCTTTGCCATCTTGCAAAGGCATGGCTGTGTAACTGAGCCTGGTGTCTTTCATTGAGATTATCTGTAGAAGCAATAAGACAAGAAACTGAAAGAGCCCAATATTTTGCATAGAATGTTGGTCAGATACCAGCTGACATCCCATTTTTCCTCTGAGCACAGAATCTATCTCTTCCTTATCTTGATGTCCACCAGAGCACCTTACATGTAGGAGTTGTTCATGAAATACTTTAAAAAAATATTTTTTAAATGTATTAGTAAAATCATATAGGTTTCAAGTGTACATTTTTACAATACATCCTCTATATATTGCATTGTATATTCGCCATCCAGAGTCAGTTCTCCTTCCATCACCATATATTTGACACCCTTTACTTTCTTCTACTATTCCTCTCTCCCCTTACTCTCTGGTAACCACTAAACTATTGCCTGTGTCTATGATTTTTTGTTTGTTTGTTTGCCGTGTTCATTCATTGCTTTCAATACTTTTAAAGTAAATGCTGCCAAATTGTTTTAGATGTAGCTAAAGACTTTCATGGACTTTAGGGGAAAAAAAAGATATACTTTAACTAAAAGTTTTACCCCTAAAAGAGAGAATGATGGATGACATCAGAAATGGATTTGTACTCAGCTCACATACATCAGTCGATTAGATATATATCAAGCACCTGTTTGGTGCTAGAAGGCCTGATGATGATAAAACATAGCACAATCATATTCATAATTTTTTATCTGGATAAAACAGATGCCTGCTTGGGTGTATCAGGCACTCTGGTGTATTGGAATGTTCTTCTCCAGGGGGAAGACCCATGTATCCATGTTGAAAGTGCCCCTCGATGCTTATGCTCTCCTCACTTCATTGTTTTGCAGCTCTACAGCTCCATGGACTTTGGGAGACGGTGGCAACTCATGCATGAACGCATCACCCCCAACAGGTTTTACTGGTAAGCCCCATCCACAGACTCACCTCCCTCTTGGTTAAAGAATGGTCGGACAGCATAGCACTCTGGGCAATTCGTGGACACCTTCATCACTTGAAGGCACATGGCTTCTAGCCCTTTTCTACTCTAATTGTGCTTTGTGGACCAGCAGCATCAACATCACCTGAGAACCTTCTAGAATCTTAGGCAAAACTTGCTGATCAGGAACCTGCATGTAATATGGTCCCCGGTGATTTAATGTGGACATTAAAGTTTTGGAAGCACTGGGCTACAGAGCTCAATGAGACAGTCATGGTCAGGTGTTCTTAGCTATATACTAATCTCACTTCTTTTTGAAAAACTATATATTGTCCATACCTATTCTAAAAAGCAGTATATCCTAAAATGTACTATGAAGAACACTAGTTCCACAAAACTTCTCCTTTCATAAGTGCTTCTGTGGTCAGCTAATTTTAGGTCCTGATTATCAAGCTCTACCCTCCTGAAGACTTAGGATGTGTTGGGGTATTCAAGAGTCTGGGGGAGCCTGCCGAACTTTAAGTCACCAACTCTTATTTCACTACAGAATCTTTTTCTTGTGTCAACAGGATAAAACAGATAAAAGCTTTAGAACAACTTCTGTGGAGCACATCTTGAAAAAAATCCTTTCATAAAAATGAATGCATGTTCCAAATGGAAAAGTAACCCTCTCCCAATCAGAAAGTGTTTTCATTAATCGGGTTCCTTTACACATGCATACTCTTTTACCTTGGTTGTCACAAGGTAACACTTGTGTTTAGTATAATGTTATCTCTTACTCTTTCTTACTGTAACATGAACTGCTTCCTACTTGTGTCTTGCTTTTATATCAGGAGATCTAAAGGTCAAAGGAATAGAGCTTAGGAAGCATGCACCAAGGTGTAGACCATAATTCATCACATGCTTAATATAAAACAAAAACAAAATTCACAATGCATGAAAGTAGTACCTATTCCTAGTCTCTTTTTGAATGCCTCAATTTTATTTCCTTACAAAGTCACGAGATGGCCATTTATGTCCTACATGAGACAGGGGTGGTGTTTCAGGGAGGTGGTGATGAGTACCTTGGACAGATGCATGTCCATGCCAACATCTTTGGAAGCAGTGGCTTTACCTAGCACCCTCTGCACCCACCAACTAGATCCAGAATTAAAAATGATGATTTCTGAAGCACATTGTGAAAACCAACTCTGTTTCTTTTTTTTTAATGAAATAAATGATTTATTTTGCCAAAAGCACAATATAAGTTTAGCAAAATAGCTATTAATAAAATAGGTTTGGAAAAATAATTGTCAAAGAAATAATTAAAAGAATCAACTCTAAATGTAAAAAGTGTGTCTGACAATTACCCATTAACTTGGAATAATACTTAAAAATCTGGTTTTAGAAAGCCGTTTAGAGTATTGGGAGAGAAAAAGGATTTGGGACTATTATTGCTCTTGACTCAACATTTGGACTATCCCCAGTTATTTTGCTCTTCCAGGCCAACTATTACTTTGATGTGTAACTATTATCGCAATTAATATTTGGTCTACATTTGGAACTATTAGGATTTTTCAATAGACTAAGGCAGAAAAAGAAAATATTTGTTTCTCTGACATTCCAGCTATACAGCTACAGCCTTTTGCTCAGCTAATATGGACCAGTTTCTCACTGTGCCATTACTCAGAAGTCCCTCAAAAAGAAAAAAAAAAAAGCCATCTGTTATTCCTGGAACAAACTCTTGAGATGGTAAGGCAGTTTGCTAACTAGGAAGTCATGTTGATGGAGAAAGAAAGTACAATAGCCCAGATAAGGCTTGCCAATGTTTCTGAAGGAAATTAAAGAGTGGATGAGGGGCAGTGTTTTCCTACCTTTGAAAATGGCAAGAAGAGAACATTCTAGCTGCTGTCACCCCCCCCCCCTTGGTATAGCAGAACGGATAACCCCCGAGGTCCTGATCATTGTGTTTCACCCTCCTCCACTCTGTGCTTCTTTCACATATGCCCCCATGGGGAAATATAACTGTCAGCACCCATGCTGGCTGGCCAAGTGGTAGCTGAAAATCCCATTTTTGTGATGATCACTTCTTTGTTTCTGGTGTATAATTGCCATGATTATCCTTTTAGGTGTCATAGGAGTCACAGAGGAAGAGCAACTTTGTACATAGACCTTTTATTCCCCAATGACAGAATCTAAGGCTGTTGAAAGCTCTAAACCACTTATGTTGAAGAGACGTGGCCCACATGTGTTAGAAGTGGAGATACCCACTCGGCACCTCCTTGAGAAAAGACAAAGTGTGCGTTTCCCTGGGTGTACAGGATAGCTTTGGCTGAGACAAGCCCTCTTTAAGCTGTGGTCTTCTCATTGTGTAATGGGATCAATATTTTATAATACTTGTCAATTTCGTAATGTGATTGAAAGGACCAGGTATGATCAGCTGGACTCTTGGAAATTTCTTTTCTGCATTTCAGATTTATAATTTTAAGTTACGTATTTAAGTACAATGTTTATTAGCAGTTTTGAAGACCATGACACATAAGTGACTTGTCGGTTTTCTGGGGTGCAATTTGGAATCCCATGCATGGTGAGACGACCCAAGGACATCTAATAACAATTGAATGAGTTTAATTTTCTTCAGGCATCCACATCACAATCTAACTTTATAATCCTCTGCTCTTTGAGTCATAATTCTTATGAAGTCGTAAAAACAACAACAACAAAAATACAATTGACAACAAAACGTCTTAAAACTACTTCTTTGGGAGGGATGGCGCCGAGTGAAGTGGCATTAGGGACGGTGGGGAAGCACTAGGGGAAGAGCAGTATGCCAAAAGCAAGATATTGAAATGAAAAATGATGTCAAAAAGGCTTTTATCTGGTGGTATGTAGACAAATAGAGTGAACATGTGATTCATAAGCACTATTGCCCAAATATCGTTATTTGCAATTTAGAGGTTTGCATATGTCTAGCCAATAGATCCTCTCCCATGTCACCTTCAATGGATAGAAAGTAGCTGCCTGGGGGAGATTTGTGGGAAGAATGCTGTGATCCAGAAGTGATTTCTGTTAAGGGTGCAGGAGGAAGAACCGACCACATGCATGCCTCATGTTCTCTTTCTCATCTACGGTGATGGACGGTTGTAATGGCTGTGGATACACACTAGAAATTGTAAGGAGCTATCATTTTTAGCCCTTTCCTCCTTCGTGACCCTGTGAGTTATGCAGGGCATGGGGCCTAATATTCATTAACATCAATAATAAAATCTTTATTTAGAGATAAAAAATTTTTAAATGAATTCCAGATGTTTTGACTCTATCAAGCGAGGTCACCTAGGAATCCTACATGATGGAGTAAGTAGGCCATCAAACACATGCCCCAAGAATAGGATCGAAAACTCTTCCATATTGTGACCCTTTCACTCATTTGATACTAGTTAACAAGCAGATCATCAGGCCCATTTTATGCTCCCCATTCATCATCCCAACTGCTTTAACTATTAAATTTGCAGGAAGCACAACGGTGGAATAACTGTGCTAACATAATCCCTTTCTGGTCTCTGCTTGGGCAGAGCTATCATGGGAGAAAAGGCAAGGTTTTTTTTTGATTTTTTAATATCCTACTGAGCTGCAAATGAATAGTATTCCCACTCTTCCACTGGGGGATATTTAACAGGCATGTGCATTCTGCAGTGGGAGATTGTTTTCTTTGCACATCCAATGTGAATACTTGCTGCTGTTCACAGCTTTGCCTGTGTGGCCCCTCATCCTCCCTAGGTGTCCACCGTCTTCTGGCATCTTTTTCAATGAGTTCACAGGCATCCTAGGCTTTGCTGAGCTCTGTGTGTGGACTGGCATCTAAGTGCCTGCAGCCTCTGATGGCATTTGCTTGTATAGGATCTTGGAAGAGAGAGAATATCTCCAATATCTCTCCCATGTTTAATTATTCTCTCTCCTGAAAGACCAGGGTCTTTTTATTTCTCTTCCTTGTCATCACAGTAAGAGAATGTTCTGATAAAGTAATACACCCTAAAGTGTCACGGACTTAAATTCCTCCCCCTTTTCTGAGGTATTTGGACTGCAGCATGGAGTGGTCTTGAGAGTAAGCAGCCCTTGAAGAAGTCGGCAAATGGAGTAGAAATTCTAGATCAGCCTACTTTTGGGAGGACAGCGAAGGGGTTGCTCTTCTGAGCTGTTGTGAGTCTGGTTGCAGGCTGATGAGTGACTGGGACAGTCAGGAGGGGCTCCAGGTCTCTACTGCATTCGCCTAAGGTCAACCGACTAATTGTTGATTTGTAGGATGGTTATGCCAGCACCTTCTTTTCTGCTTTTCTGAAAGGCCATGTGTGAGGTTGGGAAGAACAGAAAAGCAAAGCATGTCCCTCCTGGTGTGTGTAGACAGGAGAGCCTAAGGAAATGTCTTTTAAAGGAGGAAGGGATGCTATGGAAAAAAAGAACAAACAGAAAGTCCTTTTGTTGAAGTCTTTCCTTTCGAATCTTTCATTGTTCTTTTTTTCCCAGCTTCTCTTTATATGCATCTGCTCTTTTATATGTAGCCTACACATATTACATGTGAATTTATATAATCATCCTTTTTCTCTTAACATTCGCCTAAACATATTACATGTGAATTTATATAATCAGCCTTTTTCTCTTAACATTCTATTATAACAATTTTTATGTTATTAGAATAACTCTTTATAACCATTATTTTTGCCTATGCAGCACTTTATTGTGTAAAGATACATACGTTTTACTGTCTTTTATTTTTATTGGACATTGAAAATTTTCACAATTTTCATTATCAGAAATATCAGTTTCATTACTGTTTTATGCATATTTCTTTAATACCTAGAATTGTTTTCTCAGACCAGTGTCCTAGGTAGCCCAGATTAAAACTTGATTGTGTTTTTCCCCATGTCTCAGCAGAGTGTCAAGTTTAAACGGTATGACCCAAATTCAACACCAAAAGCCTTTCAGAGCAATGTAGATTTTAACAATCATTT